GAGCATTTTTTTTATTATTTGTCAAATAAATATTACAAATCGTCACCCTTATATCGATGACTTTTTGCCAAAGTATCGCAAGCAACATAACCCAAATTTCGGGAATTGAAAAAATTTTGCTTGTCTGTTTTAAATAAATATATCCTAAAGGTTTTATAACAAGTATATAGGCTAGCTTATAATTATAACTATTTACTTGCTATAAAACCTATAGGTTATATATGGTTTAAAACCAACTTTAAAACAAAAAATGTTTTCTATTCCTAAAATTTGAGTTATGTTGCTTGCGATACTTTGGCAGAAAGTCATCGATATAACAAGGTTGTATGTTAAAAAAACGAAAAATTTAAGTCTGTTTCTACAGCATTATACGTGGCCTACGCTTCACATCCCACTTAAAAATAATTCTATAGAATGTATATCCTATGTATACATATATATAGTTATTTTCAAGTTGTATGTCAAGGGTGGATTACATAAAACCTTGTAGAAGCTAGATAGTTTCATATTGTGCCTGTTTTTGCCCCTCAATTTCATTTTCTTTTATGTTTAATAGTACATACCTATATATATATATATATATATATATATATATATATATATTTCTGAGCCTAAAAATAAATAGAGTGTAAATTTACTCAGAAAAAAGTCCCCTTTATAGAGGGTATACCCACTGTTTCTATTTGAAGAGCAAGCACATAATTTAAAAATTTAAAAGAAAAAATAAGTTGAACATGGTCTAACATTTAAAATTCTTCAAAAGTATTTAAAAAATAAGCAAATTTTTTTAAACACAATTTTGGTTTTATTTTATAATCCCTATTATTGATTAAATAGTAATTTTTTTAATTATATAGGTATTATATTAAAAAGTAAAAATTTCTGGAAGGTATGGATGTTTAATATATATTTTCACCCAAGTTCAATGTTAGGGGTACCTAATTATTTTACAAAGAAACCAAAAAACAGCAAAGATATTTGATATAATTAACATGGTAGTAATTTTATCCTTAAAAATGTTTTATTTTTTAATTATATTTTTGTTATAGGTATGCTTACCTTCTAAATTTATTTTTTCATATAGGTATATTTACAAACAAAAATACTGTCTATTTTTATCCATAATTTAAATCAGTCGTTAACGACTGATATAAATTATATCAACAAATTTACATTTTATATGATTTTATTGGCCAAAAAACCAATCTAGTAAACCATGACTTATATTAGCGAAATGTCACAAATGTCAAATAAATCTTGATGAAACTTTAATTGCTTTATGTCTAATTTAAAATGTCAATGTATAGAAATCGACTTTTTAGGGAAAATATAAACGTTGAAAGATAATTACCCAATTTATTTTATAAAACAACAGTTTTTAAAGAAAATTACTACGTTGCCATGTCGTGCAAAAACCTATATCCACTGATATGCGTAAATCAGTTGGTATAAATAATCAAAGTTTCTGCATTACCTGCCCGTAATGTTTTCGAAACAGTACTTAGACCGATATTAACGTTTGGCTGCGAATCATGCTCTCTAGAAATGAATTAGTCAAAAATGAATGACAGCGATTCAGGGGACAATTTTACATGGAAATTGACTGAATCCAAAAATGTCAAAAGTTATAAAAGTAGTACAGTTTTTGAGATATATAGTCAGTTTTCCATATAATATGAAATTGACTTTATCTCAAAAACTGCTCTACTTTCATAACTTTTGATGACATTTTTGGGGAATTGACTACAGTTATTAGTGGCTGCTTTTTCGCTACGATAATCATTTTTGACATTCATTTTAATAGAGTAATCATGGTTTAATGGTATATTGCGAATTATATTATGATATTGGTGGTGCTCCAAATTATTTATTGTACATACATAAATACATATTATCAAATAACTATTTTATATGATTTTAAAGTGGATTTTTTAATTTCACTAATGACAAATTAACCGGACATCCGCTGTAATTTGTTGTTCTGATAACACTTTAACCAAGTTAATGGACCAACAACTGTTTCCTTCGCGCAGTAAGGAAGCACCATTTTTATTGCAAAATAATCTAAAAAGCAATAAATAAATATATTTGGTTATTCAAATTAACTCTAAGCAATAAAAATCATAAAATGTAACAATTTTGTTATTCGTAAAAATTAAAATCATAAAATTTATTATTCGTGTTATTCTTCTCCGTCGACTTCTTTTCAAAATGTTCAACGTTAAATTTACAAGCGGCTTAACGTGAGATAAGATTCTTAAAATAAAATTTGCATATAACAACTTTCTATAGGTAATATTATAACTTTTCCTGGAAACATCACTTAAACACCATAGAATTACACGTAGTTTTTGTCATGAGTCATGACAAACAGCTGCAAGAAGATACCAATCGCAACCATAGAGGATAGAAGCAAATCGTTTAACCGCTATTTTACCTGATCAGGTACAAATCACAAACAAAGAGACAAACATCGTTTTTTAAATGACCTAATGAGTTCTCCTGCATCTATTATTGTAATGTAAATCAGATATGATTTTTATGATACTACAAGCGGAAACAAGATTTTCCATTTTTATGTGTTGTTTTGTTGCCACAACTTATATTTAGGTAAAAATTTTTGGCGGCTGGTGGATTTTGGGCACACCCATATTCAGTTATTAGACATGGGACCCACATCAAATTTTTATGAGTTTATAATGGCATTATATAGACAAGTTCTGCGCAAGCAGAATTTGAATTGAAGTTTGCGAAAAAAAGTTAGTTTTTAAGTGTGCCCCCCCAAATTAAGATAATTCAAATTAAAGTGGTACAATATTTAATTCACTGAAGTTTATCGAAAAATTTCAAATTTTATTAAAAAAATTCAAGAAATACAGGTTTTATACCATTTTAGATTTTTATTATTTCTTTCACTAAAAAATGAGCAAAGTTAACGTTAAAATGAAGCACGCGATGGAATTTTTTCCGAAAAACGCTGAGATATTAACAGCATCATCAAGATTTCTGCCTGTTTCTCCATAAATCAAAATCATTTCTATTTTTTCTTCCACTGTTAAAAAATCTGTTATGAATACCTAACTGCTCAACGAAAACAGGTCTTTTTGTTTGCAAATTAATCTTCTAAGTAAATAAAATTTATTTTAGTTGTTTCTTAAGGTTATTTCGTTTTTTGAACCCTAGGAAAAAAGTAGCCAATTGCGACTTGGAGCCAGACTCTTTTTAGCCTTAATTAGGACGAGGATAACAAAAAATATCAAACAAAAGCAAGAGAAAAAAAATTACACGAGTTTTAAATGTGAAACTGATTAATCTTGAATAAATGAAATAATAAAACTTTAGGAAAAAACGTACTTTATCAAAAATAAATCAGATTTAATTTAATAAGATCTTTATTTCCAATGAAAAGGTATCACTTATATTCAGGGATATAAGCAAATTTTTATGACAATGTCATGTCACGGTCATAATGAAAATGACGGTCATGTCATTTATTTTTATGACACCCTTGCCATTAATTTTTTTCAATTTAAATTTCTGACTGTCAAAAACCAATGAGGGCAATGAAAGCGATAACATAATTGAGGAGATGGAAGCTGACTATGACAATGACTATAAATCTGACAAACATTTTTATTTATAACTGCAGTTATAAACCAGTTAGATATATTTATATTCTACTAGGATATGGTTTTGTTTTCTTTAAAGGAATTTATAAAGAAATTTTTATTTAATTTTAGGTTTTGTTTAAATTTTTTTTTTAATAAATTTATATTTAAGTTTATGTCTATTAATGTTTTTGTCACTTGTCTGATGCTTCTATATCTATATCTTGTAGATAAGGAAATGAAAATTACCATAAATGACAAAAATTACATATAAATGACATGTCACATAAATAAATCTCCACTTATATTAATATGAAAAAATGTTTTTGATATAATATATTATATCAAAAACATTTATTATATAAAAAAAGAACTTTAGGTAGATTTTATAAAATATACCTAAAGTTCTTTTTTTATATTTGGACTGCGGCAACGTTGCAAATTTAGGGTTTTGGTTGGTAAATACAACTAGTTGTCAAGTTGTTCGCATTGATTAAAACAAACTAAGCTAGTTATAAATCTAGTTGTGGTTATGTATAAATTATTGTAGGTTACATTGTGCAGTTGTCAAGTTGTCGAAATTCGTAGTTAAACATGCAATTAATTTGGCTTTGGTGGTGCTTGGATGAGTAAAATCATATAAAAAAGTAGTTAAATATAGGTTGCTTTACGGCCCAGAAGAGAAAGTATTCCTAGCGGATAATAATCTTCGCTTTGAAAAGAATTTATTTAAAAGAAATTAAAATTTTTTGTGAACGTAAATGTTGTCCAATGGTGAATAATGTGAAAATATTGTGTGATGTAATATTTATAAAACCAAATTCGTTACTTTTTACTCCAAAATGTCCATAAGGAGATGTACTTTTTCTTCCATTGTGGCATTTGGCATAATTTCATCAAAATGAAATTTTGCCCTCAAAAGGGCTTTTACATTCGAATTCGTTGCTATTATTTTTGGCATAATTATCTTTTTATTTATAATTGACAAGTAAATTATCAATAATAAATATTATTGTCAATTTGACAGTGTCAAAGTATTTTTAAATTCTTTAGCAGAAGTACCATTTTTAAATACTAAAAATACTAAGTCAAACTAGCATAAGCCACCAACCTACCAAAAAAACACTAGTTCAGATAAAAAAAAATGAACTGTACTTGTAGTCGAATGATCCGAATCTGCAATAAAAATAGGGTGTTCCTTTGAAAATTTTAAAGTTAGTAGAGTATGGGGATTTTGGTAATAATTTCCCCCTCAAATCATTTAATTTTTATTTAAAACATTTTTTCGTAAAATGCTTATTTACTGAGTTATTTTAAAGCCTGTATAATTTTCATAATTTTTTTTAATAAACATTATATTTTGAATGAATTTTGCACAAGGCAAACATTTACCTGGTAAAACGGAATGAGCTAGCAGTCCGGGGTATCTCAGGCAGAAGGGAGGAGAAAGCATACGCAAAATCTACCAATACAAGAACGAACTGCCAGTTGCTTAGCCGTATGGATCACAATAATAATTATTGTGAATAATACAAGTGAATCACGTCGTCGAGACCTTGACACTAATAGCTCAGCACCGTGCGGATGTCGCCTATAGTTTAGCAATACGGCATTCAGAAGAAAGAAACCGAGAAGAAGATGGAGTGTGCACGAGTTTTCTTCTTCTTTTCGAGCCGTACGATAATAATGAAAATGCCGCCAGTAACGAACAACTAACGAACGCGTGTTTTGCGTCCTTTACGTCCAGAACATTCTCGATCGGATTTGGCCGGTGTGAACCGGGCTTCGTCTCGTGGCTGTCGTCAATGCCACCGGCATACTTAACCGAGGACAACGATGTTCATTTGTTTCGCAAAATTGACGCGTTGCCGAGTTTACTTGATTCGCTCGAAATTTGTTTAATGCGAAATTTATTTCTACGAATTCAATATTATAATGAAAATTTAGATTTTTTTGAAATTGTATCACTGGTAAAATCGATCTTTTTACAAATGTTGGTAAATGAAAGAATATTCAACAACTTCCTAATTTTTGTTGGCAAAAGTTCAATTTTTAAACCATGGAGCCTACCACAAGGAGTCCGAACTCCAGTACCAAAACAAAAAATGGAAATCAGCTTGTGGTGAACAAAGAACAAGTAATTTGTTTTTTTAGAGGCCTAATTTTTAAACATTAATTTTTTAACACCCAAACATCACATACGTTTAAAGTTAATCCATTTATTAAATGTTCAAAAGCTTGACCTTGAATCTTTCTGAACAGCAATAAATGTTTCAGGGACAGAGAGTAACTTAGTTTTATTACCTAAAAGTCGCAGATCGTAAACTAAAATTGTGTTAAAGAATTATTTAAAAAAATCATTGGTGATATTTAATATATTAAATGAACTTAAAAATAACTTTAGAAAATCCAGAAATTCTAAAAATACTTGGAAAAAACGTTTTATGTGAACTAGTCAAAGAACAGATCTTCTAAAATATCTTAAAATAATTATTTGTTACTATTTTTACACAGACTTGAAGGCCCATGAAATTACCATCTTTTGAACTCTGCATTGACCAGCCTTTAAGGTTAACACAGGCTACAACAGAGAAGCAAAAAGAGGCCAAACACTGACGAGTAGCGAAGGTGTACACTGAGAGAAATAATTCAAAAGTTTTTTACAAAATGTTGTTTTAATTTAATTTTTATTTTAAAAACTATTACACGTTTAAGTTTTTTAAACTTGTAGAATTATTTTGCATTCCTACCATTTATATGTACTACAACTACTAAATTTTAAATTAAAATAGTATTCAATATCAACGAACTACTTAAATATATAACCATGTTGTTGTAAAAAATAATAAAACACCTTAAATATACATTACTTTATTATTTACAACAACCGATACTCAATAATGAAACTAAAAAATTAGCAATATACATTATACAATTTTCGTATTAAATGATCTGAACTTGGTCCTATAATTTACAACTACAAAGTAGTATCTCTACGAAGACGTAGTAGGTGATTTTTGTTCACGTGTCTAAATTCGCCAATCGCCGCCTTGCATGACATTAGTAGATGCGCATCTATGCAAGCCAAAATTAAGCAGGGAGTGGCACGTGTTGGCTAGTGGTCGCCATTTACCGGTGTTTGATTTTTAATAGTTAATAGTACAAATTATAAACCAAATGGAGCAAAAACTAGTAGATTGGGGGTTGGAAAGTTTAGTGCCTTTATTTGCTGGTAAGTACCTACCTAATACCTCTGTCGTGTGGGCATATTTTATTCTTTTTTATGGTTTTGATGCTTGTAACATTTTGCACGTATTTTATATTGTAAATGCGTAAAGGTGATACAGGAATACACGGGAATACCTTTCTGAATGTTTATTAAAACTTTTTTGCATTTTTAAAGCTTTGATAACATGTTTATCTTGCCAAACATTAATTAAAAACCGGTCTTAACTCTATTTTTGTTAAATGTTAATAACAATAATTTTACTTCTTACCTCATTTTTAGAAAATCAAGTAGATGAAGAGGCGTTTTCTCTACTAAGTTTAACAGATATTGAAAAATTAGTACCATTTGTTGGTCTCAGAGTTAAACTTATAGATAGATGGAAACAGTTTTGTGGTGAAAAATCTGTAATTGACTACCTATTTACCTATTAACATTAACTCAGGTTGTTGTGCAATTTATTAAAAAAGACATTTGTTGATGTAAAACAAAAATTGTTTCTTAAAGTGTGTTTAAAAATTTGGCTTACGTAAGCCAGGGAAGGGTACAGGGTGTCAAGATAAAGTATTAAGCCTTTTTTCTTCTTTAAATGTCATATTTACTACCAAAACATAATTTTCTTTATTTTTTCCCTAATTTAAAAATACCAATACATGGTGTGCAAAAATGTGCATTTTTTTGTTTGTTTTTATTTAGGTTTGGGTTAGTTTTTATTGTTTTCTAATTGATTTGAATATTTTTAAATCAAGCGTAAACATTCCTACTCACACAAACCCCACAACGTTTTTTTTTAATTATTTTTTGGAAAATTTATAGTTTTAATTTTTTGAGAAATCGTTTGTCTTTTTGTGGGCTTACTTCTTTAAACACGCTAACATGAACAAATAATACAATAATAAATTATTTATTTAAACAAATAATAATGTACCTACTGCACTTGGTAATATTTAAGGTTAATTACTTTTTTTATTTGTCTATTTTTTATACAAATATATAAGTTTTATATTTTTTGAATTGTAAAAAATGGCTTTATCAATATACAAATTTGTTGTATTGAAAAAAAAAATTAAAATTTTTACACACTCTGTATATCTTTAAATTAAAAAAAGGAGTAAAACGGTGTTTTGAAAATTAAAAAAAAACATTGCAATTAAGTATAGGAAACGAGAAAACAAGGTAAATACTTTATCTTGAAACACCCTTTACCTACTCTTCATTTAAATGAATTTACTTATTTTTATTTTTAATATTTTTGCACAACTGATGCATGTATGTAGATTGCCAATAACTTTAGAAAAAATAATATTGCATGTACTCCCCTCCAGGGTATTCGCTTGACCTAATATGTGAACCCCTAAATGATATTTTAATTTAGCGTAGAAATTTAGGTACATGTACCTGCAGGTAGATATATTTTTTTCTGTAGTTATTTTTCATTTTTATTTTGTTTGTTTTACAAAGTTAAAATAATAAATTAATTAATTTGTATTACTTGTAGCCATCTAACATACTTTTGGATTTATCCTCGGAGTTATCCAATATTCCATCAACGAGTAATACTTCTTTAACAGAATCTATTATTTTCGAAGTTGAAGATATTAACTCTGATAATAACATATCTTTACCATTAAGTTTTGAAATACCAGGGGGAACCCCTACTACATGTGGATCTGCAGATTTAGGCCATTTACTTAACAGTTGTAACGAAGGACAAATTATTTTAAAGCATTACAAATTACATGGAGAACTTAAAAGAAGATTGTTGGTAAATTTAATAATAAAGCATGAACTAAAGGATAATCCCGACAAAAGGTAATACAAACTAAAATATACATAAACTTTTAGACTAAAATTTTGCTTATAGAATTTCGGGAAAAAAATTCACTGAGCTTGCCAAAGACATTTGCAATATTTTTCCAACAGAATTTCCTAATACGTATTATATTTCTGGACACAGAGATTCAAAAGGAAAACCAATCAGTGCTCATGGCAAACTATGGGACAAATACGTCAATTTAAGATCCACTTTCTTAAAATTGAATATAATTAAAAAGAAAAAATCGGAAAATAACAGCGTTACTGTAGAAGGTAAGTTAATTTATATATACTTTAATTCAAATAAAACTTTTAAATTAATTTTAAAGGGAATAATGATACACCGGAAATAATCTTGGAACAATTAAATTGGCTGAAAAAAAATACTCAACCTTGGGTCAAGATAGAAGAATTTTGGGAAAATACTTGTGACCATCGGTTAAAAGCATTTAGAACAGAAAACATAGAAATTCATACGTATTTTAATATTTATTCTGCTCTGCAAATGCCATTGGGCTATTCACTGGTAAGAACTGCATTATATTTAAGATTTGCTTCATTAATCTTTTATTTTTAGGTTCTACAAGATTTTGAAAAATTACATCCCTCACTTTCTAATTCCTTGTATAATGAATGGCCTTTACTTTATAACAATATTATAAATATAGGCAGAAAAAAAAAATGTCCAATTATTAATAATATTTTGATAAAGCATTTAAGAACAACCAAAAACAATGAAGAGGACAAAAGTAAGTTACTTAATCAGACTTATAAAAAAGAAAGATATTAAAAAACGTTTCTTTATGTTCTAGGTATAGAGGAAAATGTTGCTTTTTTGATTTTTCCACTTTTGTTTCCAAATATATCTCGAAAGCGCAAAAACAATTTGATTCCTAAATTTTCAAAAGTAGAATCTGCAAATGCCTTTATTACATATATTGAGGTATGTATGCTTTAAACCTTTATGATAAATTAAAATTTTAAGTTTTTTATTGTAGACTGAAGAAAATTTAACTGTAATATTTGAAGCTAATGAAATTGAAAATCAGAAAAATAAGACAACAGAACAGCCAAGAATTTATGTTACTGGTAACTTAGCGCATCCAAATTGCCACGTAAAAATTAATGAAACTATTTATGATATTGAAACACTAACAAAGGCGGTGGATGTTTGTTTTAAATTAATGTTTGTGTTAAATGCAAAATATCCATATGCATGTGAGCAACCTTGGACGTACATCCAAAGGGAAATTTATAAATTGGAGACTGAACATGACACACATTTCACATCAGTAAGTGCGGTAAAATCTGATATTTTGTGTGAACAATTAAAATTGCAATTACCTTAATTAAACCTGTAAGTACTATTTTAAAAATGAAATGTAAATTATGTGCTCATACATTTACCAACAAAAAGGCTTTTTTCCTTCATTTTACTTTCACTCATCAAAATCAAACAGACTCATATCCTTGTCCATTTGAGCAATGTGTAAGGTACTTCTCATCCATAAGTTCTCTTAGAAAACATTTTTCGTCCCATAATGATTGTACACCTATTACATCAATTACTCCAACTTATAATGAAAATGTGAAAGAT